CGCAGCAGTGCCGCATCTAGTGGCTTCAACTGGATAGACTAACAAAAACATTAAAATGCAACGACACTTATCGCATCTCGTGCACCACTAATAAGGCTGCCTGCTTAGTGAACAAACTGCATGCAAACATACTCTGACAGACTGGCCGATGTAAAACACAGCCTGTTTGCCTCCGACTCCAAAATACGAGATGTCACTGTTCAGACTGCGTGGAACTGGATCCGGCCGCACGTAACCGGTTTCTTCACTACATCAACAACAAAGAAGAGGAAGACAGCTGACGGTTTTATCAAAACAAGCTCCATAAGACCATTTATATAGGCATGAGACAATCAGTACTGTTCAGCTAGATATTATTTCACATTTTTGACAAGTGCATTCAAACGATTAATCGCGATTAATCGCATACAAAATAAAAGTTTTTGTTTGCATAATATATGTGTGCGTACTGTGTATATTTATTATGTAGATGGGTCAAAGACATTAAGATGTCCGCATCAAAAGAAATGTACAAAAGTGATTTTATGTCCATAGAAAGCACATTAAATGTAAGTAAAGTGTTTACTTTTAAGGTTTCAAATAAGTTTTTGGAGAACAAAATGTCAAAATTTGGTTGAAATAATGTTAACCTTGCAAAAAAGAAACCTTGCTCAATGAAAAGATGTCAAAGGGAAATGATCATTTTATATATAACTATCCCATAAAATTACAAAAATAGTTCAATCTAATTATATATATGACGTAATTCATCTCAATATTTATATGCTTGTAGGGCTGATTATAAACTAAAAAAAAAAAAATTGATTAATATTTTTTGGTCAAATTGTCATTTGGCTAACATTATGCTTTTTAACTTAATTAAGTGTGCCATAAACATAAGGCATAGAGCATCTAACATGTAAATGCCTCAGACCTTCCGTCTGTAATGTTTAATTTGTATTAATCAATGAATTAACAGCCCTAATGTGCTAAGTACACTACCATTCAAAAGTTTGGGATCAGTACTTTTCTTTTTTTATAGAAATTATTACCCAAACTCAACAATGACACATAAAATTGATCAAAAGTTACAGTAAAGACATTTATAATCTTGCAAATGCTTTCTATTTCAAATAAATGCTATTCTTTTAATTCAGAAAAAAAATCCAGAAAAGATGCATCATGGTTTCCACAAAAATATTATGCAGCAAAAACTGTTGTTTTTTGTTTGGTTTACATAATTTTTTAAAGAAATGTTTCTTGAGAAGCAATGATTTCTGAAGGACCATGTGACACTGAAGACTGGAGTAATGATGCTGGAAATTCAGTTTTGATCACAGCAATAAATTACATTTTAAAATAGTTTACAATAGAAAAGTTATTTTAAATTGTAATATTTCACAATATTATTTTTCAAGGTATTTTTGATCACTCAATACTGGACATCTGCAGTCACACTGTCAATGTAAGTCTACCTTTGTCTGTTTGTTTGTTTATTTATTCATTCATTCATTCTTTATAACGCCATGCCAGCATCAAGGCTATTTTCATGGTGATCTCTGAATAAATTATACAAGGTATACAATTAACAAAAGGTTATAAAAGACATTTCAGATGTACACTAGACAAAAATTCTAAAACACATTCAGGTGATACATTTTGAAATAAATCAGTCAGACACACCAATAAAACCGGTGTCTATTTACATTGAAACATATTTTATTGGATTGTACTGTTTTTATAGTCATTTTAGTTCGGCAAGTGAGGCATGATGGTGGTTCTTCACCTTTTAATAAATGTGACCCTGGACCACAAAACCCGTCATAAGGGTCAATTTTTGCGAAATTGAGATTTATACATCATCTGAAAGCTGAATAAATTGGCCGAGATTATTATTTG